AATATGAAATACAAAATATTTTACTATTGTTTAAGTTAGTTAAGTCATTTGGGTTTTAAATAAAAATAATGTAACTAGTTTTAAAATTTAAATCTCAGATCAGATTTGGAGAGTAGATTAAATGGTAATTTACAAAGCTCATTATAATGTTTTAATTTATATAGTAAGTTTAGTAAAACTTTCAATTATTATATAATAATTTCAATTAATATTTAATTCATAGATTATTTAATGCCATAAAATATATCTGTTATATAGTTGGAAATATAAAATTATGAAAAATTATATAAAAATAAATTATTATGTAAATATTATATAAAAATTAAATATAAAAATGTACATTGAGCATTTAAATGATTTATAATTTATTAAGTATAATTATATAATCTAAACTACAGGAACACATTAAGTATATTTGGCATATTGTATGTCTCATACAGTTATCTATATAATTATCAAATTAGCTAAACAAATCAAGCAGCAGTTTATTCAACAATGCATTTAATACCACGTTGTTTGCCCAGATCAATAATGCTTTGTTTATACTTGGCATTTTTATTTGTTGGTATATTAATAAAACTTACATATGTAAGCGAGGTGAGTTTAAGCATAATCGCATACAAACACTTAAAATCCAGATAGTTGTATGTTGTATTTTCTATACCATCTAGATCATCGTGGAGTTCCACACAAAAATCAGTCAAATTAGCGCAACGGGCAATACTGGCCGCTATGGCAGACATATGACAACCCCTTTTACCACCAATAATACAATCAACTAATATTAATTGCTCTAGTTGGGGCAAACTTCGCAGCAACCGGCCAAACGGACCCTTATTTAGCTCACCATCAAGCAATTTGAGCGAGGTGAGTGTACTACAAAAACTAGCCTCGCTTAGCATGATGCAAAGTTGGTCACATCCATTACCAAAACGAAATGTTAGTGCCTCGAGAGTGGTCAGGCCTATTACACCTTTGTAGAAATCGCTTGTATTAATACTGTTGTCGCCATTAATGTGACAGTCGGCGTACGAGCCGTACCAATTTGAAGCATCTAGATTCAGGGCCCGTAGACCGGGTAGGGTTAGCCCTCTCATTGCCGGGACCGCCAGTTTGGCCGTTTCCCAAGACTCCAGCCGCAGAAACTCTAGCCTATCTATCTGTGAGATAGCGACGAGTATATGATATAAGGGTGAATCATCAGGGTCATCATCGTTGTCGTTAATGTGGGTAAATAGTTTGCACTTAAGGTAGAGAAATTTTAGCTGGTTCTTTTGCGCGAGTATATTGAAACATTGCGCGCTAAAATCGGCCCTGGTAATGATTATTTTTAGCTCATCTAGCACCAGACACTGGGCGAACAGGCGCATTATCGACTTGTTTATCTCGTACGAATGAGTTATCGGGCAGTGAGCCAGGTCGTCTAATGACATGTGGTTGAGTTGTGGCGCTAGTTCATCTATTAAGTACTCCCAACCATCTAGATCAAATTGGGCGCCATTAATGTAGAGACATTCTAGTTGTGGACAACTTCTGTGTAATTGCTTGATTAGTTTATGGCTAATCCCTGTGGTATGATCAAGGTTTATTGACTTTACATTGGTGTATTGGTCAGCATTTGAGAGTATATTCTGTGAATATTACATAATTAACCATGATAATTTATTTGTAAGTACAATATAACAAGATAAATTTACCTGATCAAATTGATTGATTGTGATTACGTATAAATTCGGTTGTTTTTGCACAATGTCAGAGTTTTTATGAAAATACAGTGAACAAATACCCTCCCTATATTTATTACCACCATGATCATCTAATAGCAGTGGTGATTGCGAGTCATTGTTTATAATTTTTATGAAATTTAGTCCGACAGTAGTCATGATTGTGTTTGTTATATTTATTTATGCAGATTAGTTATTAAACTACATATAATACATACACCACAAACATAATTACAGAATATTATTAATACACAATAATTTCACTTTAATTTAAATGTTAAAACATTATTTATTTGCAATTTATAAATACAAATATATCATACAATTTATGCAATAATTTAATGCAAAATTACAAATTTTGTTTGAGTTTTGAATTTTGTTTAAGAAAAAACATTATTACGAATGCATTTTATTATTTAAACTGTTTATGTTATGTCTGGGAATCCAATGTATGTATGATATTTTGCACACAAATATAATACACATGTTATACACAGTTACGAGTTTGCGTTATATAACACATTGAGAGAGAGAGAGAGAGAGAGAGAGAGAGAGAGAGAGCATTAAAAGGGTTTAAGTGGCAAAATACAGTCTGCGATTCTGGTATACCCAAAATCACAGACACTTATATTATTATATAATAAAAATAATAAAATAGTGATAATAAAAATAATTTATTGCCTAACACAGAGTGGTGAAAATGTTATGCTTGAATGCTATTTGGTTTATATAAATGTTTTTATTTTTAAAGTCAAATGGTCTATAATTATTGGTATTTCTTATTTAGTTACATTGTTTTGACTGAATTTTGAGTTATATTTTTGGGTAAAAGTTTTTATTTAACTTAATTATTTTTGTAAAAATATTGGTAAGCAATACATTAATGAAATTAAACTTATAGTTTAAGTGTGGTTTTAAAAATTTTAATATTTACTCATTTTTTATGCAGAAATTAATTAACAAATGAGAATTTTATTTTAAATTATTTTATTATCATATTTAAATGTTAATAATTTTGATATTTTTAATTATTAAATAATATATTAGAATACATGCAGTATATAAATGCAATTAATTAACAAATTATTTAAATACTGTAAATCTATAATGTATTATTAAAATTATTACGAGCTATAGATTATTGAAATAAGTTTTGGTTTATACATGGGCAATCAAGCTTATTTTAAATATTATATTTAACAAAAATGAAACATTATGAATGAAATTACATTTTAAATATATTTATGTGTAAATGTATTAAAATAAATGTGGGCATTTTATTAAAAACAACAGACATTGCAAATAACTTATGGTTAGTCTATATAATAATCTTGCTTTTTTATTGTAGAGTCGTTGCAATATGTCTTAGCAAAGGTAGCGCACGGGCCCAGGCATTCGGACCGATGCCAGTCTCTCAATAAAGTTCGAGTATATCTATTAATATATAAATGTGATTAGCTAGATAAAACATAAAATACATTGGATAATGCTCAAACAATGGATATAAAGTACGTTATCCGCTTAAATGTTGCTTTAAGTAATATTTATTAAATAATCAATCCTGGTAAATCATTTGATAATCATGATAGAAATTAGATAATTAAAAATTTTATACTTACACAAAAACTATTAACAGCGATATATACGTTAATAAATCCATTTATTTATACAATATGTTACTCAAATCTCACAGAATTTATATAAAATTATTTTCTATAGCTGTTTTATTAAATAATTTAATAGTAATACTATTTTCAAATACAGGACTTGAGTTGTGTTTTACACAGTTTTTAAAAACTTTTAATAATAATTATAACTTTTGACAACAACTTTTCAGTATTTATACCTTATTCTCATAACAAAGTATACAACCTTTTGGGTACTGTTGTTATTGCAACACATAATTACCATAATGCAAACTGGTTGGGCATTTGTGACAACCCGTGGTTGTGTGTACGCAAATAATGTTCGAACATAAGGTCGTTATATGTACTGTACTTATTATAATCAAATCAAACATGATCAAAATTACTGTTAAACATAAATTAGAATAGTTTTATTTAAATTATAATGAATATATAATTAATTAAAAGTTAATATAAATTTATATATTTTAATGAATTATGAAATAAGTGATATTATATTTACTATATTTTACATTGTTATACAGATTTTTAGTTAATAATCAATAATCAAGGTCAGTTTTGCAGAATAATTTTGATTGCAAATAATGACGTATATAAGAAAAATACCTTATATTATACAATGTATAATTTATTATATGACCAGGCTATGTTGTGCCAAAATGTATTAATTGTTTAAGGGCACAATGAGTGCATGCTATGAATTATTTATTTATTATAAGAAAGAGTTAATATTATTTGATATAATCTTAGTTGTAAACAAGAATAAGATACATGTAACAAGATATTTATAACTTGCCATTGTTGGTTTAGTATTTACTCTGAAAATTGTGCCTATTTTAGCTATTTTTAGCATATGTTTGACAGAAATGATTATTGTAAATTTAATCATAATAATGATAATGGTGTATGTTACGTAATATTGAACATGCTCGGACAATTTATGGTTAAAAATGTTAATTGCATAATATTTATAGACAATGATACTTTATTGTTAACAAATTATATAATAAACTTTTGCACAATTAATTACTTATATTTTTCGTGAAGCGATTAAGCATGCAATATAATAAATTAAAACTTATAATTTATAATTATTCGTACGTTTATCACTCTACAATAATTTATAATTAACTAAATGCAAAATAACTTTATAAAACACTTTGTCTGAAAAAGTATTAAAAAGCTGTAAATAAATACTAATTATTTGTTATTATAATATATTTTACCCTGATTAATAAGAGTTGGCACTCAATTGACGCAGATTACAAACGTTTTTTATACAACATTTAATTTTTAAGTTTATATAACTAATCTTAATATTTATGTGATAACTTATACAACTGATGAGTTGTTAATAATAACAATTAGGATTGTCGTTAAAATTAATTTAATTATATATTTGTACATTTATCATTTACAATATTTTAAACTAGTTATTTATATATTATCAAAAGAACGAGTGTTTGATTTTTTTTAAACAACGCTCCCTTTAATTTGTGAATATCTATTGGTCTATCCATAAGTGACCCGTACATTATATTCATATATTGATGAGCGCGCTGTTTAAAAAAAATCAAACATTCGTTCTTTTGATAATAAGCTACAAACATTTGTGTAAAATATATTGTGGTTAATTTCTAGATTTAAAATTGCACATGAGCGTTTTAGGTGACATGGTTGGGTCGGACTTTGTGTATTCAATTTCAAAACCTGGCACCAAGGTGAACTCAAACTTCAACACCAATCTTGATAGACATAATTTCATCTGATTCACAGCAAATCGTTCACCTAGGCACAATCGGGGTCCCCTACCAAACAATATGTACGCGTATGGGTTGTGTGTGGGTTTCAGAAAACGATCCGGCTGAAACTGGTCAGGGTTTGGCCAGTATTTCGGATCTCGTTGTATAGTGTATGTGCTAATTAAGACGGCTGTGTCGGCCGGTATAGTAATACCTGTAGTAATTGAAAAATAGCAAAAAATAAATTTAAAAAATAAGGTTATTTTGTTCAAAAGGGTTCATTATATACGTACCGGTATTTCCCAGCTTATAGTCCTGAACACACGTACGAAACAGGCGTACAAAAGATGGCGCGAGTCGTAAGGTTTCGGTGATAACGGCGTCCAAGTATTTCAAGTGAAATACCGTTTCGGGCGACATATCCTCGCAATCGCGCAGCTCTTCGTACAGCCGTTGCTGACAGTCCGGGTGTTGGGATAGATAGTACAGGACATGTGTCAGTGCACTGGATGTGGTGTCGTAACCGGCCATAAAAAACATGATACTATTGCCGACGATTTCTTCCTGCGTTAATATGCCGACAGATTTTTTGCTAGTTTTGAATTCGTTGTTGTAATCCATAGTCTCGTCGATAGGGTCCTCATCAACAGCGGCGGATGTGTCGTAACCCAAGTCCTCATCGCTTTTCTCCGAGTCTATCATTGATTGTATAAAATCCGTACGTTTTTTGGCTATAATTTAACAAGTGTTCACATATTATTAAATAAGTTTAAATAAAACTATTGACAATAATGATCACGTACATTTGTCATCATGTGCATATTTATTATGTTGTTTTCGTTCATCGATTATGCTCTTGGTCAAGTCGGCGAAATAATTACACGCCTCAATACTGAAAGGCTCGCAACCAAATAGTTTGGCCAAAGCGGGGAAAAAGGCCGATGTTATGAGACCCAGTGTTAGGGGCGGGTCCAGTAGTTTTTTGATGTTTTTCAGCACCGGGTGGTCAGTGTTTTCCAGCGAATTGAGCTCGATGCCGTACGCGCAGCGACAAATGTTGTCCATGGTAAACGCACCCATATACTTACGCATATCTATCTCGTTGCCTAATTTGCATAAATAGGTTAAATTAGAATTGCTATACAATAAATCAATAACAATTAGCATAATGTAAATTTAATATACAATATGTATAGTGTATGCAATAACTTTACAGTATATGATAGTTAAATAGCTTGTATATATTATAAATTTACCTGTTTTTTCGTACTCAGTCAACGTGTCGACCAACCGATCGGTGACATCCGTAATGTGTGTCATCATTGACCGCAACTTTCCCGACGTAAACAACGGCGATATAATATCGCGCGCGTGTTTCCAATGCTGGTCACCCTTCATGAAAAATAACATCTTGCTCAACGGCGAACTACCTTATTTATGTGATAACTTATACAACTGATGAGTTGTTAATAATAACAATTAGGATTGTCGTTAAAATTAATTTAATTATATATTTGTACATTTATCATTTACAATATTTTAAACTAGTTATTTATATAAGCTACAAACATTTGTATAAAATATATTGTGGTTAATTTCTAGATTTAAAATTGCACATGAGCGTTTTAGGTGACATGGTTGGGTCGGACTTTGTGTATTCAATTTCAAAACCTGGCACCAAGGTGAACTCAAACTTCAACACCAATCTTGATAGACATAATTTCATCTGGTTCACCGCAAATCGTTCACCTAGGCACAATCGGGGTCCCCTACCAAACAATATGTACGCGTATGGATTGTGCGTGGGTTTCAAAAAACGATCCGGCTGAAACTGGTCCGGGTTTGGCCAGTATTTCGGATCGCGTTGTATAGTGTATGTGCTAATTAAGACGGCTGTTTCGGCCGGTATAGTAATACCTGTAGTAATTTAAAAATAGCAATATAATTAATTTAAAAATTAAGGTTATTTTGCTTAATAGGGTTCATTAAATACGTACCGGTATTTCCCAGTTTGTAGTCCTGAACACACGTACGAAACAGGCGTACAAAAGAGGGCGCGAGTCGTAAGGTTTCAGTGATAACGGCGTCCAAGTATTTCAAGTGAAATACCGTTTCGGGCGACATATCATCGCAATCGCGCAGCTCTTCGTATAGCCGTTGCTGACAGTCCGGGTGTTGGGACAGATAGTACAAGACATGGGTTAGGGCGCTGGATGTGGTGTCGTAACCGGCCATAAAAAACATGATACTATTGCCGACAATTTCTTCCTGCGTTAATATACCGACAGATTTTTTGTTAGTTTTGAAAGCGTTGTTGTAATCTATAGTCTCGTCGATAGGGTCTTCATCGACGGCGGCGGACGTGTCGTAACCCAAGTCCTCATCGCTTTTCTCCGAGTCTATCATTGATTGTATAAAATCCGTACGTTTTTTGGCTATAATTTTAAAAAGTTTACACATATTATTAAATAAGTTTAAATAAAACTATTGACAATAATCACGTACATTTGTCGTCATGTACATATTTATTATGTTGCTTTCGTTCATCAATTATGCTCTTAGTCAAATCGGCGAAATAATTACACGCCTCGATACTGAAGGGTTCGCAACCAAATAGTTTGGCCAAAGCGGGGAAGAAGGCCGATGTTATGAGACCCAGTGTTAGGGGCGGGTCCAGTAGTTTTTTGATGTTTTTCAGCACCGGGTGGTCAGTGTTTTCCAGCGAATTGAGCTCGATGCCGTAAGCGCAACGACAAATGTTGTCCATGGTAAACGCACCCATATATTTACGCATATCTATTTCTTTGCCTAATTTGCATAAATAGGTTAAATTAGAATTGTTATATAATAAATCAATAACAATTAGCATAATGTAAATTTAATATACAATATGTATAGTGTATGCAATAACTTTACAATATATGATAGTTAAATAGATTGTATATATTATAAATTTACCTGTTTTTTCGTACTCAGTCAACGTGTCGACCAACCGATCGGTGACACCCGTAATGTGTGTCATCATTGACCGCAACTTTCCCGACGTAAACAACGGCGATATAATATCGCGCGCGTGTTTCCAATGCTGGTCACCCTTCATGAAAAATAACATCTTGCTCAACGGCGAACTACC